ATATAATACTCCTAAGACAGGTTGTAAACAGCATGAAGCTGTTGTGATGATGTGCAAAAATTCATTAATTCATTCATAGAAATTTATTCATTTCATCAAAAAACAAAATTTTATACACAATAAAAATAAAAATACAAACACAATGAAATGAAGGGAAGCAGAGAGAAGAACAAAATCTTATATCTGCCCCTTTTTTCCTCAAGTATAAATTCAAACAACAATAATCCTCAGTTAACAAAGCAAAACAAGAACATCAAATCATTCAAGAACAACAGATTATATGTTTACACTTTATACTGTTTCATATTTTAAATTTAGGTTTCATGAACAACTCTGTCCCCTTAAGATTATAACAGCTCACTCTCTTTGCAAAAGTTTTCCTGGATGTTTATAGGTAATGTGTGAAGGTGAGCCTTTTACATAACTAACAAAATATTGTAATCAACCAAATCATAAAATGTCAATAATTTCAGTTTAAAAATAATGTATTAGATGGATAATAGTAATGTTTTTGTGTGATAACTCTTATAGCTCTTTTCTGCAAGACAAAAACAGGATGTGTAATTGTCTTACATGCTTTCTCCCCATACCTCAACACAATAAACAAAGTGTGGAACAATTAATGTATTTTATAACATATACAGAGCTTTATCATTAAACAATCCCTTTCTTTATAAAGCAAGATTTAGCTAGTTTATTTCTTAAGTAATCAACATGAGGTCTCCAAGTCAGTTTCTCATCAATAATACCAGAAACTTCACCTCACTACTAATCTCCACATCAACAACTCTAAATGAAGTATTAACAGTTGTTTTGCTCAGTGTAAATATCATATAATTAGTTTTATCCAAATTGATGATTTAAGTTTAATCCAGTTTTATATTATTGTTTATTGTAGTATTGTTATTACTGTATTGTAAATACTTATATATATATTTAGTACTTACTTATATATAATCCCCCACAATCCCTCCCTTCCAATTTCTCAAAGTTAAAATTGGCAAAAAAATTCCAAAAAAACTAAATATATTTTTAGTTCTGTAATTTTCCCAAAGTGTATTTGGTTGAATCAACTGCCTACCTGAAGTGAAATTTTTAATCCATAACGCACGTAGGTAGAGAGATGTTCACAGTTGTTCTTAGTGGGCTCCCACATCTTACAGCTTTTATACTTTTCTGCAATTCGTTTTGTTATGCGATCTTCAGAAACTAATTTGTTTTCCTTGATCAGTGGAATGTCGTCCAGGAAATTGTCACGCTCGATTACATCACCAGGTTTTAATTTATCAAAGACGCAGCCGGACAACGTTTTTGTTGGGATTGGACCTGTGGTTATTGTGGAGATATTTGACACAAACAAATGCACTTACATTCATACATATGTTTGGATTTTAAAGTTAGCCACAGATACTGTACCTGTGAAGTGAAATAGGTTGTCGTCTTCTTTTTGGTCTGGGAATCTCTTTTTGTCCAGGAAAATACCATAATGCTTGTAAGTGTAACGGACGCCGCATACTGTTTTACGAGGGAAGGCAATTATATCTCCATATTTTAGCTGGGAGAGACAAAAAAAGAGGACAATAGAAAACATATTGTGTATCATATTTAGTACAACTAAATTTTTACTGTTTGTAGAGGAAGAGAACAAAGAATATGAGTTAAAACGAATTCTAAGGAAGTTTAAATCAATCTGACTTAACAAATTTACTTTTGAGTAATCACACTGTGTAGCTACCCTTACTTTAAATTGGAAAAATAAAATGTTTTGAGAAATTATTCTAAATGTAAACAGGATATTTAGCAATTTACCTCCTCCAAAGGAATCGCAGCTGCTATGATGATCACAAGTGAGGTCACCACTATGAAGATGAGACTCCTCATCTTTCAAAGACTGAAACCTATGGTAAGATAAGACAATTCTTAGTGAAAAAAAGCAAAAAACTCCAGCATGACAAATGTGAAGATCAACAAATTCTAACTTACTCAGAGGGAGACTGTGATCTGCTGAAGTTAAAAGACTTCAATAGTGAAGCAAAAAAAAAAAAAAAAAAAAAGAAAAAGGAAAGGGAAAAACATTTTACATAAATTTCAGTGACAAAATTTGCAATTTACAACAATTTAATCAACAACTAAAAAAAGCAGTGAAAAGTATTTTCAACCATCGATGCGTCTCGTATCAGTCACACAATTTGTCTCGATCTCAGTAAATCTAAGCAGAAAATATTAAATTGCAGAAAAAGTGATAATTCATTCATATGTTCAAGTCTTACCTTACCTGCTGACATTGAAGGTCCTTTTGTCACTGAAAAGAGACTGTTTATATATCTTTCAGAACAATGAACCCTGTCATGTGGAGTCTTTGCCCTCCCATTGCTTGATAAAGCGATCTGTTTTGAATACTTGAAATGGCATAAAGATTAATGGTATAAATTCATGCTGAGTGTGTGTGAGTGTTGTTGTTGTTGATGATGATGATGGCTTCATTGTCATTGTACAAAGAACAATGAAACTACAGTTAAGAACATCCATTCAAGAAGACAGTGGAGGGGGAAGAGGGTGTGTGTGTGTGTGTGTGTGTGTGTGTCATTTTTGGGAAGTGAGGATATTTTCCTCCTCACTTTTTTTTGCAGTTCTACTGAGCTCTACCATTTAGGTTAGAGGAATGGTGTGGGGACAACTGGTACATATGGAGAACTGAGCTGAGTTCCTGTTTAGTTTAAATGTCATTGGTGGGTTGGGGGTTAGATTTAGGACCAAAGTGTGAATTGAGTTTAGGTTAGGTTTAGGGTCAGGTATGTACCTGTGAGGTAAGTTTTAGAGTAGGGGGTCAAGGCTAGGCTGTAGAAATTAATGGAAGTCAATGGAATGACCCAATATGTGGACACAGCTGAGTTTGTGCATGAAAAAAAAAACAACACACACACACACACACACACACACACACACACACACACACACACACACACACACACACACACACACACACACAGGTGCATGAGCTGAACATGCAAAATCCATCCAGGAAAGTCCCAGTACAGAACGCAAACCTGCAAATTTCTTGCTGAGGCGAAAGCTTTAATAATTATTCTGCTGTGCCTCCATTTAATAGTAATCACTAAGGTATGCCATTAACCAACGCCATATTTTTATGCCATTAAGTCATCTAGCGTATTACGTTAAATATATATTTAACCTAATACACTACATGACAGCCGCTTCATTACTAAAGGTGGAGTAATGTACTCTCTGCTTTCAAATTCACACCAACTCATCTATCTGTCTACCTTTGCAGCCCACTTAGGTCCTCAAATAGGGATTAATAAATGTTGACTTGAAGGCTCATTTTCCCCATATTTTGTAATCCTGACTTAATACTCTTGCATTTGTATGTTTCTTTCTTGTCACTTTGTTTTAGTCCCAAATGTTTTAAAGTCCTGTTCGATTGTTCACCCAACTGCCATATGCTCATCAAAGTATGAGTGAGAATATAAAATGGGCTATGCTGACTGTAACTACATAATAAAAAAGCATTGTTAGAGTGTGTGAATGGTGAATGACAAAGGCATTGAAAAGCACTTTAATAAACCAACATGAAAAAAGTGATAAAAATATGGAGAGTATTTGTAAATATTTATGTGGGATCTTCAGTAAATGGTTTATTTAAATTGTACACATGATTTGAAAAGGGCATACAGCGAGTAAAATAAGTATTGAACACGTCACCATTTTTCTTAGTAAATATATTACTAGAGGTGCTAATGACATGAAATTTTCACCAGATGTTGGTAACAACCCAAGTGATCCATACATACAAAGAAATCAAACCATAAATGTCCAGAAATGAAGTTATTTGTAATAATGTGGAATGGCACGGGGAAAAGGTATTGTTTAAAGTAATACATACTTTGTACAAAAGCCTTTGTTGGCAACGACAGCTTCAAGACGCCTCCTGTATGGTGAAACTAGTGACATGCATTGCTC